GGAGTCCTCTGAATTTTGGAAGTGCGATCTTCGCATGAGTTCAAATACCTGGGAATCAGCTGATGAATACGATAAAAAGAGAGCCTGTAACACATCATCGCGGAACTAATGGGTTTTACCTCGGGTAATGCCACAAAACGTTACTTTTTGAATGCTCTCTTATAATAACGAAAGATCTTGAACACTCTTTTAGCGTGATTCCCATGAACAGTTTGGTTCTTCGTCACTTGACAAGTTGACGTTTCTTTGCCAGATTGTTGAAATGGCATGTATTTTCGCCACTTTATCGGTGAGCTTTTGACTGACTGACTTTCTTCAGATGTTAAGTTATCACAAAAACATACGGAGGGGCTACCTTCTTTTCTAAATATGCTTTAAAAGACCTCGTACTGCTCCTGTTGGAAAAAAACAATGGGGACGAAGACGAAAAGAGAAAAGAAAGAAGGGTGGTGTTATTCAATAGCTACTTTTTTGCAGGTGACGACTGCTCAGGGAAACTGATGACACAGACGAAAAACAGCTTAATTTTAACCGATGGTCGTAGTCAAAGACAGAATAATAGCGAGCGCTATTTTTTCAATGAAGTGGACCTGTTGGTGTAATAGCTCGTGCGACTACGGTAACTACAAAGTTGTGCAAGGGGGTTGGTCTGCGACGGGTTCCCGTTCTTTGCAGCTTCTTCATTCTAAATATTGGATGGCATTTAGTGTTGGAAAGTACGAGAAACTAGTTGTAAGCCAGGGAGCCCAAAGGTCCTTATTTAAGTCGGAGCAGGAAGATCTTCGTGGCAGACAAACCATTATTCGTGTAGAAGGAGTTTCCTGTACTGCGATATTCGGAAAAAATGTTTGAAGACAAAGTTGGAAAATTGATGTCTGTCCTCTGTCCTTGACCACAGAGCAGTGAAAAATGTCGCTAATGTGGCCCGCCGCGAATTTTGCGCCTGTTCGTCAATGGCTGCCGCTGACCACATTGCGCAGTTGCTAATGTCACCCTCCAATTTCAACCATTCTGAAGTTTTAGATTGTACCGAGTATTTCTATGCTATTGATGAAATGTTGCTGCTGTTCTTATATCCGATACTCGTTGGTAACCGATGGATGAGCTTTTTTGAGTCTCTTTTTGTCGTTCATTTATTGTGACTAGGTCGCCACGTGGTCGCCCTAATCGTGGTCTTTCGATCATGCGCTAGCTGGTCTCGATTTCTCTTTACCCCATACCTTACCGAACAAGGTGAGGAAATCGCTGAAACTATCGATTGCGTTTTTCGCTCATTTTCTGGTGAATTTCCGCATAAGAGGCCCGAAGCAATCAAATATAGAAGTTTTCCCCTTGAAGAAACGAGTAAGTTTCGTAGAACTAAGGATAAGTGCCGATTTACGCATTTCCGGCCATTTTCGGGCTTCTTATCTCTCATTTCGGAATTTTTTTCTTCGTGGAAATGGACTAGAGAGTGGTTCACATCTTGCCAGCACGTTAGCCTCAGTATATCATACTAGCCTCATACAATCAAGGATTTCTGGGTTCTACGCCAGGGAAGCGTTTTATGTCCTTAAGTGGCCTTAGTCGATGAGCGTAGACACACGTGCTGCACAGTAATCGTTCCCGTTCCTCAGTTAGAATAGATCAGGGAAAAGGTTGGATTTAAGAACGTAACAGTCTTCCAGTAGCTGGCTCAAGATTCGAATGCTCTAAATAGATGGCGTTTTCTATCTATGCAGTTTCCTTTTCCGGTCATCCCTGCTCAGCCCAGTTCGCTGCGGATGATTGGGCGTGTCCGCATGGCTGGTTTGGCGCGCTGGTAGCCCGTTCTTTACCATTTCTGAGGAGGGTAGGTGACAAAAGCTTGTGGAAAACAACTTATACGAGCGATATTATATAGTCTTGTCGCTTGCCGACAGAAAAAAAGTAAAAAACGCTCATCGGCGCGCCAAACGCTGCTGACACGCTCAATCATCCGCAACGAACGAGACTATAATTTACACCTGACGCTAAATACAGCAAAGCACCTGAATTTGAAGTCGGTGAATCTACCGTCCAGCAGCCACCATCAGGGTTTCAAACGTACGCCAGCGCAAGCGACTAGGACGGTATGGAACCAACGTCAGTGTCTACCAGCGTCTCGAAAAGTATAGGTATCGATCTAGCGAACGCCAGCGTCTACTAGCATACAGTAGCTTTTTCTCGGGCAGTTTTGCTCAAGTTCAGAAGTACCCGCGAAAACGCTGCTGTTACTCTGGTGGACGCTGGTGTTCGCTAGATCGATATCTATACTTTCCTATTTGCTGCGCTAGCATACGCTCGAAACGCTGCGGGACGCTGATGCAAAGTATGAGCGCAGCCTAATCAAGAACACTCACAGGCTGGTATAGATCAACTGCTATATATTTACCAAGCTCTCGGCGGAGCTGTTCGGTTGCCGGTGTGTGGAGGACTTTTTGCTGGGTAGAGTTCACGTTCTAGAGCTTCTCCCTTCAATAAAGGGTTCAGCCTAAAATTCTCGTCCAGTGGTTGCAACCGTTTCCTCGTACCCTCCTGCACTAGGCGCAACTTAACATGGGAAAGAGGAGGAACGGTGCGGAGAATGGCCTCGCACAATTTCGTACTTTACAAGAGTTAGGTTGCCCCAAAATGACCCAGTCCGTTTGCAGTGTTTTACAAAAACACCCCCCTGGCCGAACTGCGCCCTCTCCGCTTGTGCCCGGAGTGCAGGACGCACTATGTATGTGTGAGTACATGAAAACTTGTGGAAGCCAGCTGGTGCGAGTTCTGCGTTATCATTCTCCTTTAACAGGTTCTTTTCTAACTAGTATTGATGAAGCGGGTTCGCAAGGAAGGAATGGTTGGTAAAGGATTCGATCTACGAATTGTGCGGACGATTCTCCTCATCATGGTTAGTCGTTAACCGAGAAAAAGTACCGTGGAAAAAACAAGGAAAATTTCGAATTTCGCCACCATAACACTGCACTGGCTGGCCAGACGACATGCCTGTCGTTTCAAAGTGAAGGTTTTGTTTGCTGAATAGTTTGCGAAGGTTCACCTACTTGTTTCCCTATTCACCTTTTCCTCTATAATCAGTCATTCATTCCGTTGAATTAACCGCTCTCATGGCGTTCACTTTTGTTGGGCGTTTGCCGTCGTCATCATCATTGTGGAACCACCGCTGTGCGCAACCTACAAAACCAGTTTCTCCATCGATCGGCGTTCTGGGAACCGATCACGCTTATCTGAACTAATCGCCTGTTTTCTATTCTTCTTACGTTGTTTATGAAGTTCTTAACGTCATCTGTTGATGAAATTGTTTTTACCAATACGTACCTCCTAGTGCTCTGTTGGTTATTGCTATAATCTGAACGCCTGTTTGCTTTGTCCAATGTTCGATTTGTTGCCGTTCAACGATTTGCGACAGTTTGTGTTGGCTGTCTGCAAACAATTACCCCCCCCCCCAACTCCTCTAGCTGCTTGTTTAGCGTGGTTCTGCCGATCGCTGGGCTGTGATCTGTGATCAGTAGCCTTGACCTTGCTTTGTTTTCCTTCACTTTCGGCTCCGAGCGTCCACAGATTTCCTAATTCTCAACTATTAACACGCTACAGTTTTGCTTTCATTTATTTCATAAGTGTTTTTGGTTTATTGCAAATATTGGGCGCTATTCAACTAGTATCCCAAAATAGTAGTACCTTCCGAAATCAGGCCAGTTTTTTTACCGACGTTTTACTGTGAGGGCTCATTCGGCTGAAAATTTGTTCCCAGGAATAGTTCGACCTTTCGACCTCTTAAACACGAATATCGTACCCGCTCAGCCCCAAAACCCAGAGTCAGCGCCACTAGCGCCGGAGCCAAACGATGAAAACTTGTACGGGGGCCATTTGACATCTTGATCAACATTGAACACTAATGGAAGACTCTACGATCATCTGCGCTCTGCTAAGGCTATCCTGAACGGAATCACTCCTTCCCAGGCTCAGCCATAAGAGAGCGCTGAATCGCGCCAGTGTCGAGAAAGGAGTGCCATATT